CCGCACGAGAGTCGCCTCAGTTGGAACGAGTCCGTCCCCACTTGCGAGTGGGTGGGCGTAGCGTGCGACTCCGCCAACACCTCCGTCTTCTCTCTCAGGCTCCCCGGGGTGGGGCTCGTCGGCCAGATTCCGGCCAGTTCTCTGAGTCAACTCAGCCAGCTCCGAGTCCTCAGCCTCCGCTCCAACCGCCTCTCCGGCCCTATCCCGCCGGACTTCTCCCGTCTCCGGAATCTCCGGAGCGTCTACCTGCAGGACAACCGGTTCTCTGGCGAGTTTCCGGCGGGCCTTACCGAGCTGAACCGGCTCGCCCGGCTGGACCTTTCCTCCAACAACTTCACCGGCCCAATCCCTTTCGCCGTCAACAACCTCACCCACCTCACCGGCCTCTTCCTCGAGAACAACGCCTTCTCCGGCGTGATCCCGAGCATCTCCACGCCGGGTCTCACCCAGTTCAACGTCTCCGGCAACCGGCTCAACGGCTCCATTCCCAGGGCCCTGGCAAGGTTCCCGGCGTCCGCATTCTCCAACAACCTCCAATTGTGCGGGGGCCCGCTGCCCCCCTGCACCCGCCCTTTCTTCCCGTCTCCCTCCCCCTCCCCGTCCCTCGGCCCTCCGGCGGGAACCACCCCGGCCGGGGGAGGTGGACGGAGGCTCTCGGCCGGCGCCATTGCCGGCATATCGGTCGCCGGCGGTCTCCTCGCGCTCTTACTCCTTCTGGCCATCGCCTTCATCGTCGTCAAGAGGAGGAGGAGGGGGCGGACGGAGGCCCCGAAATCCCAGAAACCGGTGGCCGCGGCGGCGGCCGCCGCTGGCGGTGCGGCGGGGGACGCCGGGACGTCGTCCTCGAAGGACGACTTGACGGGGGTTTCTGGGGAGGGAGGGGAGAGGAACAAGCTGGTGTTTTTTCCGGGCGGTGGCTACAGTTTCGACCTGGAGGACCTGTTGAGGGCGTCGGCGGAGGTGCTGGGGAAAGGGAGCGTGGGCACAAGCTACAAGGCGGTGCTGGAGGAAGGCACGACGGTGGTGGTGAAGAGGCTGAAGGACGTGGCCGCCGGGAAGAGGGAGTTCGAGCAGCAGATGGAGGTGGTGGGGAACGTCAGCCATCAAAATGTGGTGCCCCTCAGAGCCTTTTACTATTCCAAGGACGAGAAATTGTTGGTCTACGACTACATGCCCGCCGGCAGCCTCTCCGCCCTCCTCCACGGTAATTCATTTCTTATCCAATTACTCTTTAATTATTTACTTAATTTACTGCTATTTTTTTTTTTTCTTGTTTAATTAATTAATTAATTAATTAATTTACCCCTTTTGTTTTTCTGTCAATTACTTAATACATTGAAATTCACATTAACTATATTTCCTTCATTAGTACAGTAAAAATCTCATATATTATAATTAAATAATATATAATTACCCGATATGAGATTTCATAATTTTGACTCAGAGTGGATAAAGCGTGATTTGTGCTTTGAATATGAGAAAAGAATAAAGGGAGAATAAAAGAAAAGGGGATAGTAGATAATGAGTGTTTGGCATAAAATTTTATTGGCTTCAAAGAAACTATAATAGCCACATGCTGGTAGGGTCGAAAAGCTGCTTTTGGACCTTGAATTTGGTATATTAGATGTATTTTGGAGGGAGGAAATGTTACGCTCCCGTTACGGAACCATTCCGTTGAGATTTGTAATCCTATATCATTACGTAACCGTCGGGAATAGTTGATCAACGGTTCTATACCCCGACGGATTGGTTCCGTAATGGGATCGTAACATCTCCTGTAAAATGTATTGCGACAAAGTAATATAATTAGGCTTATTTTATACTTTATTTGCCTATTATTGTAATTTATGAAGTAATATAATTAGGCCTTTTATTGCGATAAAGTAATATAATTAGGCGATATAATTATGGTCGAAAAGCTGCTTTTATTTTTCCACAACTAATCTATTTGCCTTTTATTGTAATTAATGACTGAATTTATATAATTAAACAACATGAATATATATGATTTTTACATAAAATGTAAATACATCATCAAACGTATTTCATTAATGAGAGGCCCAAATTTGCAGCTCTTGGGCTTTGGTGCAAAGTTGCTAAAACATTCCTAAAGTGCAATTATTGTATTATTATTATTATTACTATTTGACAATACTGACAGTGTGTATGGCTAAACATAAAATACTAACTTTACAGCTCATAAATTGATAAGTGTTGATATTTATATAATTTGTGCAAATATACAATAAATAAACCTATCATATTAAAATATATAATAAATAAACCCACCATATTAATAAAATTATATTAGTGTTATTGAAGTAATCAGATAATATGATAGATTTATTTATTGTATATAGAATATTGGCTCTACTATGGAGCCAACGGTTGGCTTCATAGCAAAACCGGTTACATTAATATGTGAAATGTACTATTCAAGCAAGCATATCCCTTCTATATATAATTGCAGAATGCGCTGACTTTAAGTGGCAGTCTCGCACGCTTCGGAATTCTACTTGGCAACAAAACATACTTCGTAGTTTGGTTTTGCTAAAAAAAGTATCATTCTAACTAATAATTTCAGGTTCGGACATTTCAAAAATATTGAAAAACTAACTTGGTAATTCCATAATAGTTTGACTGATATAATCCTTATGTTGTATGAGAACCTATAGTAATTACACTGATTGACTAATATAACCTTGATTTATTTTGAAAGCTCTCAGTCGACTCATTAAGTTCCATGAAAAACTCAAATTAGCCTAATAAATACATCTATTTAATTTTCAACAATTATTGTTGTTGTTATTATTATTTAATTTTAAACATATTTTTTTTAACAACTGCTCGTGTAATACACGGGTATATTACACGGGTATTGTACTATTACTAAGTTATATTGCAATATATGATACTATGATTAGGCCTGATATGCTTTTCCTTGAAAAGAATAAAAAACGATGATGATGCTTTGCCTTTTTCCTTCTTGGAGAAGGGAAATAAAGCAAGTTACATATATATATGTGCTATCTGTATGTGCGTGTGCTTTCTTTATTGTGCCTTTCTTCCCAATTTGCCCTTATAACTTTGGCCTGCACTTTAGCCTACCTATGTCTTAGTTCAACACTTCCTCAACATAAAGTGGGTATTTTCAAGCACACGACACATGTCACATGTTCTTTAATAAAGGGTTGGATATATTGGCCCAGTTTGCATTATTATTATTATTATTGATTTTTTTTTTTTTAAATGGATACTTAGATATGTTTGTGTACAAATTATTATTAGTAGTAATATTGTTAATTTTATCTAATATTTGATTTCATCAATTCCAAAATCACATTATCTCCCCAGATTAA